TCCTGTAGCTCTCCCCACTCTTCCCCTGCTACCAAAACATGGTCATGCAAACTCAATACAAATAAACACGCATTTGTATGTATTTTGTGTATATTTCTGCTTTCATTGTTTGGAAAAATTTAAACATTTTGGAGAATGCAACAGAAATGGGTACTTACCAAATACCCTTTCTGACAGCTTTCATCTCCTAAACCAGAAAAACAAATCCTTTTGTCAAAAGGAATATAACATGTCAAACAGTACATTGATGCCCCAGATACATGAGAGTACAATTTATATTCCCATCATATTAAGCTACTCTGCAGTCTGACGCTAAAGTCAACGTAATACTCTGCCAAACACTGGGATGAGTGCTCTGGCAGTCTAGAGCAGGTTAAAACCTGTGCTATTCCTTCTGTGTGTTCTTCAGAAAAAGACAAAACAAGTAATTTTGTAAACTGCTTTGAATGTTGCAAAGTTTAACTCCGTGAAAGAATCTGACACATCCATTTGAGATGGCTAGGGTTGTACAGACGGCTGTATAAGACCATCAAAACAGCATGAAGATCACTAAAACACTGCTCAAGCCCACGCCTAGCCATGAGATTTTAAATGTACATAGACTGTGCTGTTTGTGAGAAACAATATGAAACAATGTCTTGTCACAGGTCCTTGGTGCAGCAGTTTCTCTTACAGGGATGCTCACAATGGCAATAAAAGGCATCAGTATTTTCCATACGTGTTAGAAACTCGCTGTATGTTGCAGTATGCATCATCAGCTACCTGCTGCTTTCCTGCCTCATACACATTGGATGTCAAACATTTTTTCAGTGACCACCAGATACTTGAACTGCCTTGTGTGAGAAGTTACTACCCTATAAAAGAACAAAAAAATTGAGAATGAACTCTAAATGAACTACAGATAAAAATCTCATCTTTTGGAAGCATGCAGTGTTAAACTGCTTATTTTAGCAGCAATATTTTAAAAGATAAAACAAAAGAATATTTGCTGACTGTTTAATCTTTTACAAGCTAAATGTTCTACCCTGGGCTTATAGACTTCATTCCATGTATTTCTGCGTCAAAATCTGTCAAACATTTTTCCCTCAATGTTTATTTTCTGCATTTTTGCCCAGTCTGTTCATAGTAATCACCTTCCCAGAAGTCAGATGACATATTTACATATGGGTCATTTAGCATAGCATTATCACAAATTTAACATGTGGATACTGAGTAACATTTTTGTTTAATTGTAAGAATAGGATTTTAGTCTTCACTTTCTGTCTTCCTATGAATGTAATCCATACAACAAAAATACAGCTAAATAACACAAAAACCAGTCTGTGCAATATGCTGTGGTTTACTGTGTGGTAAAATGCTCATTACTCAACAGTTTGGTGGGGTTTTCTCTCTTTAGTAACCGACAGTGGACTTTTTTTCTAGGTCTAGAGGAACATTAATTTCTGTGATTAATAATTTTGTTAACTTAATTAAAAAAATTTAATTCTAATTTTTTGAAAGTACCAAACCTTTTGAAAAATTTGTGCAATTTACAAGGACGATTGAAACTGTGAAAGAGGTTTTGTAAAAATTGGTATGTGAAGCAGGGAAAGTGAGCTAGAAAATGTGAGTAGCGTGTACCAAGTTCCCTGAGTACCTCTTTCTCTATTAATATCTGCCCATGACACACTTAGCACTGCGTCCTTTCCCCACTGATATGTCAGCTGCAGACCTTCTATCCATGAAAATTATTTTTATCAATTTGCCTAGTCAATGTCCCAGTGCACACAACCAACCCACAGATGTTCTGATAAAGCAGCTGCCTGTAAAAACAGCACGTGTGACTCTGACTGGTAGGTTGTTATTTCTCTGGGTGTTTGCAGGCACAAAAGGTTCTGCATGCACTCACATCTTCCGATTTGCACAGCAGACAGTTCTGATCATGGGGACAGCACCAAAACACATTCAAGATGTAACATCTTCCCACTCTATTACAGACAAAAACTGTTTATTGGAGAAAGCTATGCAGTATTTAGCATTTTGGACAAGAAGTTGATTTATACTCTAGAATCTCAGAAGATAAAGGTGTATGTCTCGATGCGTATGTCTTGAATACGGATACCTGGAGGGCTGTGGAGCCAAGAAAGGACAGCTGGTAATAACAGACAAGAATTGTTGGTAGCAACACAGCGTGAGAAAGAACAAGATGTGGCTGGAGAAGGCCTTGTCGAAGTAGCGCAGCACTTTCCAGGACAAAGTTGTTCCAGTTTCTGGAGCACAATCCAGCACAGTACAAATGCAGGAATGAGGCTAACAAATGGACATGGACTACAGGGGAGATGAAGACGACCCAAGCCTCGTTCCCTTCCCTTCCCTTCCCTTCCCTTCCCTTCCCTTCCCTTCCCTTCCCTTCCCTTCCCTTCTCCTTCCCTTCCCCTTCCCCTTCCCTTCCCTTCTCCTTCCCTTCCTTCCCCTTCCCCTTCCCCTTCCCCCTCCCCTTCCCCTTCCCCTTCCCCTTCCCTTCCCTTCCCTTCCCTTCCCTTCCCTTCCCTTCCCTTCCCTTCCCTTCCCTTCCCTTCCCTTCCCTTCCCTTCCCTTCCCTTCCCTCTTATCCCTTTAGCCCACTGCCATGTGCTTACAGAGTAGGTCAGGAGCTGACATACCACTTCACACTTTTGCAGACCCCCCTGACTTTTGTCGTTCTGTTCAACTACAAGCATTTATGAATCTCAGCTACTCCCTTCCGCTTAAGGGTGAAATGTCACATACTAGAATGCACCTTGGGCTCCAGGAATGCAATATAAAGCCTATTTTTGTAAAAAACCTAGGTCCATAAAGTAAATTAACAGCTAGCCAAGTGAGGACACATCCCCGTTTTAAGCGGGAGCCCCATCGCACCTGAGGGGACTCTGTAAACAGCGGAGGTCGGCCGAGCCCACCAGCGGGGCATGGGGGGATGGCTCGCCCCCTGCAGGGCCGGTAGTGGTACGCTCCGCGGCGGGGCGAGGTTTCCCGCCTTGGCGGGCGCGCGCGTTCCCCTCAGGTGCCTGAGGGGCCGCGGCGTAGGCGGGGACCGGGAGAGGACGGGGAGCGCTGACCAGCCTGCAACTGAATAATTCCTACATTCAGTTAATGTCTCTCTCTCTCTCTCCCTATATACATATGTTTTACTGCCATATGCAGCAAAAAAATGGAAAACTTGACTTTCAAAACGGGATCACCAGCTACAATAGTTTCAAAAGTGATACTGGGAAAGCATGGGTGGCAAGGGATCAAAGAGGCATTAAAGGAAGGTGTCACAGCAATCAAACCCACGATTTAAACCTGTAATTTTTTCCTCAGTGACATAAATACCGTTCAAAACAGGAGTGGGAGATTTGACAAAAATGCCTCTTGAAGACATAATGTGTAATAGTAATATGAACAAAAATAACAGTGATGAGTTTTCCTGCTGGAAAAAAATACAACATTAATAATACAACATCATTTTTAATTTACTGTTCCAGTTCAGCAGGAGTTTTGTACCCAGTGGTACTGTTGCCAAGTACTGAGCACATCCTGTCTCCGAGAAAACAAGTGATGCCATAGAATAAGGAAACACACAAACAAAACACGGCAGCTCCCTGAATTCTATCCGCTGTCTAAATGTCTAAACACAGTTTTAAAATTATAATGAAAAAAATGGCGATTGACAAACAAGATACTGCCCATGATAAGGATTGGAAAAGTCAAAGGACCGACATTCATAGTGTACATTTAGACCATCAACTAACAGAATATTAGGATGGGTAATTGTTTTAAAAATTTGAGTGTTCTGAATACATATTTTAAACCCCAACTTGACAAATAGTTGCATTGTAGTAAGCTGTAAGACACTAAGATTACTTATTAATTAAAAAACAAAACCCCCATTAATTTAACTAAGATGCATTAATTTTTCAAAGTTTCCTATATTCTGTTAATTTAAAACTGTTAATGGAAAAAAATGAGCTTTGGCTTATGAATTAGTTTTAGTCTCACTGAGGAAGGAGTGGGCACAAGGAAAAAGTATTAAACACACAGAACCAATATCTTACTGCTTTGTTCAAGAAGTTGCATATACACAAAAGCTTGTAAATATTGAATGATTAAGAAAATTACTCCGTTATGTAATTTTGGTTTCTGCTTAGTGTTGTGCATTTACCTATTTTTGCCTAACTGTACTGCAAGTATTTCTGTCTGGAAACTCATTCAGTTTCTGGGTAGTGAACACATTTTAACTTCTAGTTCATCTCTCTGATTGCAATTTTTTTGTTATTTGTAAAAAGGCTGTTCACACATTTCCACATAGAAGTGGTGATTTTGTTTGGACCACATGGTTTACTAGTAGATATTGGAATTTTTGTCTCATGGAGCCTGATGTTGAGAAATAGTTTGAATATTTTTAGAAGCATTCATGTTGTGCATTTCAGATCCATCTTGCAAATACATGTTGAAGATTCTGTAAGTAGAATTTACAAAAATAGGGGTTATGTTAAAAATCTGGAACTATATGGGTGCCTTTCAAAATACTGTCTTTTTATTCTGCAGCAAGGTTTATGTGCCTATCCCTGATTTGACACTTGTTGTTTATAAGAAAATATGTAAGTACCTTTAAACCTGAGTATCCAAGTATTAGAGCATCTACACAGATAAAAGATGCTGAATTAATATGTGCCCGGTGCATTATTCTGTCTATGGAAGTGAATCAGATTAACTTTTTTAATTACAGCAAAATTTCCAAATTCAGCCACAATATATCAGCTTGGCAGGTATTGTTTGGGCTTTCTGACATTCATTGTATTTCCCAGAAATGCAAGATCTTAAATAGGCTGAAGTTTATCTTCAATGCAAAAATAGTTTTGATTTTAAAAAAGAGTCTTCTTTGTTCTTCTTACATTTTTGCCTTAGATTTTATGTTGTGTGAATGATAAATATATTAATTTATAGACCTTTTTTTTACATATATCTAGTCATCATTTGATTATACGTTCCAGAAATAAATGAATCATAGTGATGAAGAAACTATGAAAAAAACCAGTATAGTGAACCTTGATAAGCTTTTATATGACTTCTCAGAGATAGAAAAAGTAAGTGAAAAAGGTAAAAAATGTTGAGACTGCCACCTATAATTATTGTGTGACATTTTCAAAAATTTGTTGAAAATGTTAAGTTGTATCAGATTACTGTTATGCCTTGCAATACGAACTTCCTTTGGAAAGCTCTTTGTATTGACTGTATCCTGGAGACATAGGAGTGGACTCTGAGTGAAATCTGAGAAGCCTTTGTTTCTGTGCTAGGATTTTAATCATCCAGAGGCCAAATTGGCTTTCTTAGGAAGACTCTGGAAGATGATGTTGAAGATTAACTGCATTGCACTGCTTTGATAGAATCACAAAATGGTTTGGGCTGGAAGGGACCTTATAGACCACCTAGTTCCAACCTCCCCTCGCTAGACCAGATGGTCTAATGCTGGGGTATCCTTTCAGAAGTTGTTCCTTGTCCTAGAAAAATGCCATTCCCTTATCAGGAGCACGAATTCCTACATTCCATATGCATTGATCTTCCTTTATCTTATGTGTGTGTCATTTCTCAAATGATTGACCCTCTGAGGAAAATCAGTACTGCGTTTCTTTTAGACTGATGTTGACCAGCTTTCTGCGGATTCCTGGTCAGCAAATCCATACTAGAGGTAGTATAAAAGGAGCACCTGAAATAAATTTAGCATTTCTCTTGGAATAAACTTATTATACCAGTTCCTATTCCCACGTATTGTTCAAGCTGTTGCTTTGCAAGAGTGTTGACAGCCTCATATGCCAAGCAGTAGAAAGAACCTTGCAGAGGATTGACCCAGACTCTGGGCTATATGACTGAGAGGAAAATAGTTTATAACTCATTATGTAAGTCAGCATTCTTAGTTCTGCAGGGTAAACTTGGAACAGTAAAGGATCTGAAGTCTAGTATCATTTTTCGCTATAAAGGAATATCCTGAATGGGAAATATTACAGGCTTGGACTGCAGTATTGTGGAATTGTTAAATTTTTTATTCACTTAAAACTCAAAACTTAAAACATGTTAATATAATGTTAGTCCCTCTCCAATTTTCTAGAAAATATCAGAAATCAATGATGCAAATAACCTACTGATTCATCAGCTGGAAAAATGTAACAGATTGCTAGCATTAAGCCAATCAAAGGAGGAATCAGTAAAAGAGGGTAAGTTACTTTATTAGATAGGTATGATTTTTTCATGTATTCAAGAAATTCTGAGAGATATTTCCATTATTTTCAGCCATAAAAATAATATGGGGAAAAAATGTGGAAAAAGCAGTAATGCCTAACCCTGAATGGTAATGAAATCCATCTCATAGTAAATACTAATATTTATATTAATATTATGAGGATTCAGACTGTTCAATGGATGCTAATAAAACTTCATTTACCATTTATAAGTGGGAATTACAAGTCTATAATCATAATGAAAAAGTTGTGAAACAAAGGAGGAATTACAGGGAAAACTATAGAATTAAGATTTGTTTTATTCTAGAACTGTTTTCAGATGAGTATTTGAAATGAGAAACAATATCTAGTGCTTAGCATGGGTTGTGGTTGCTTATTCTTCTGTAGTTTGTAAAGTAGCTGAAATGTGCATCTTTTGTGGGACTTCCATCTCTGGGAAGTCAGCCTGCTAAAAGTTGGGAAGCAAGGTAGGAATAAACTTAGTTTCAAACAGGAGGGAGATTGCCAGTCGGGTTTTATTTTAATCTTCACGAGGACTTGGATAATTTAGCATGATCAGAAATTGAGCAAGGAAACTGAGCTATTGAGTGAGTAAAGTTTGCTTATGATGATAAATCTCTTCAGATAGACCAAAAACTCATGGTACAAGATGACTGGGGAGATGGAGACCAGTAGCACCACAAATGGGAGACATTTTTTATAAACAATGGTTGATGTTAGTCGGTTGCTTTTCAGGAAAGAGGTCTTGGTGTCCTCTAAACAGTTCTCATAAAATATTTTTATTCTCTTAAAATATTTGTATTCTCTTAAAATATCAGTAGACAAAGAAGCAAACACTGTGGTAGGCAGGATGATGAAAAAAAAGAGAAATAAGCATTGTGACTCTGTAAGGTCTGTGATTTTTATGTCATGTTCTGGTCCACACATCTCAAGATAGACAATAGCACAACTAGAAAAGGTAACAGGGAAGGAGGCAAGGCTTGGTATTGCTAGGAGAGAGCAAGGTACAAGGAATCAGCAACTACTCCTGTAACAAAGACCATGGATGTAGGGGCTTAACCGTGCAAGGCTCACTCCCACTGTGCCCATGCAGGGCTGGCCCAGCAAGGACTACCACGGTCAGCCAAAAGTCTACATTAAAAAACAAGTCTGTACTGATGAGAGTGGCTCCGGAGGCTGAGTCAGAATGGAGTTCAGAAATGGTAACAAAGGCCAGACATGGCCCAAGGATCTCTACTTAGTCCCAAGTGAAGAGGCAGATCTGATGTCAAGCCAGAAAATCACTCCCTAGGTCATGACCAGGGTCTAGTGTGTGCCTGTCACACAACTGCTGCATAGGCCAAGGGCAAAAACCTCTGTTTACAAGCAGCTCCCATGGGAAGAAGGGATGGCTGTTTCTGAATCTGCTCCAGCCTTTTTTTCAATGTCGCCATCTATACTCTTTCTGAGATGGCCTTGTGTCCAGCCAAACACCCAGAAGGTGCATGGGGGAAAATGCACCTGGGGCTTTCACAAGTTTGGTCACAATTTTGGGACATTTGAGGGAAGACTCGTTGGCTGGGAATTTTTCAGCCAAGATAAAGAATAGAGCTGATATGACTCATAGCTGTAAAACTGTGAATGGCACAGAGAAAGTGATTACAGAATAGAATATTCATTTTCTAATGTAATAAAAAAAATAGATGGAAATAAAACTTGTATATTGATTTAAAGCTAACAAAAGGAGGAACTTTGCCACACATTACAAAATAAAGTTAAATCAGTTCCACAGAAGCCTGTGCATAACAGGAGTATATATTAATTTTTAAAAAATGGAAAAAAAATTAAAACCAACAAACTTTTAAACACAAAGACAGTATCTCTCATTGTACCCCTTCATTCTCTGTTTGGGAAGTTGAGAGGATGTACTAATGATAGCATTTATCTAGCTTTTTTTTCGTCTTTCCTGAATTATCTCATAGTGTGTATTGTGAAGTGGCATAGTGAAGTGGATGGAACTTTGGTTTGAGTCAGAAACACTAGTTTCTCTGTTAAGCACAAAAGTCAGACAGTGCAGGACAGTCACTCAGAAACAGAAGAGGCTTCTTTATTGATGAAGCTAGAAAGGAGTGGGTTGATATAAAACAATTTGTAAAAAAGGAAAGGAAAAGTTGGACAAAAAGAAGAAATAATTCTTACTATAGAACCTATGATATAAAGGGTAGCAGAGAAAATGAAAGAGACAACTTAGGAAACCAGAGCTGCTGGGATGACTGCAACAAGAGGAATGGACTGAAAACAGAGCAAAGTCAGAAGAGAGATTTGAGCTGTGTAAACAGTATTGCCTCACTTTCATGAGATAAGAGAGAAATTATTAGTTGAGATAGTTAACGCTGATATAACTGAAGAGAACAGGCTCTGGAGCTTCTTTTGAAACACAGGACGAAAAAAAGAAGCGTGGGTGGCAGAAGTCCAAGTAAAAATACCAGAGCAATCTGCCTGAAATATGAAGTAATGTTTCAGCAACAGGGATAGTCAGGAAAAAAAAAACCTTAACAATATTGAAGTCATAGGAATAGTGCCGATATAGACAGGAGACAGAACTGCTGTAAGACAAGGATCCTGATCAATGAGTAAGAGTAATTGCAGGGATATTAGTAGCATTGACAAAAAGAAGTGAAAAGCGGGAACTTGGAACAGTGTGAGACATCCAAGAGGTGATTCTGAAAGCTATTTGATGATAATGAAGTAAAATATGAGTAAGACACCAAAGAGATAGAATTTATTTAGAAATAAAGACAATTATCACAGCTGCTCTGTTAGGTTAAGCTCAGAAAGGTGGAGGAGTCTCCCCCACTGAAGCCATTCAAGAACCATCTGGGTGCAATCCTGTGCCATGTGCTCTGGGATGACCCTGCCTGAGCAGAGAGGTTGGGCTGGAAAACTCAGTAAGGACCCTTTCTGTGGTTCTGTGATTCTGTGAGTCTGTACTTACCAGTAAGGTAAACTATTAGATTAATGCACTTACCAATAAGGTAAACCCTTCAAATATCAGGATATGAAATGCTTGTAAGTTTATTGTTCTGAACTGTATTCAAGTAGAGTTTCAAAAAAATCTTGGACAGAAAATTGACATAAACTGTAGCAGAGACTATTACAGGAACCTTCAGGAAAACAGTTAACATTTTACTGGAGATGAGCAGAGCCTGTGAATAGTAGTGATGACATTAAGAGTGTTTCAAAAAGATGTGAAAGGCTGGTGTAGTGATTATAAATTAGTAAGTCTATAACATTTCTAAACTATTTTTATTTTTATTTTTGCAATTGATAGAAATGGTCTTTGCGCCTTTATTAAATTGACACTGACCCTTCAAAAAAGGTAATAGCATATGTGGTATTCAGAATCAGAGTAATAAAACTTTTGCATCTAATAGTTAAATTCTTTATAAAAACCTTTTGAAAGGTCAAAGCACTGTGGGATTAAAAGAGACACCGAATCCCCTTTAATATTGATGGGGTTATAGAGGGGTCCCCTGAAGCACTGGAGAGGCACAAGGAACCCAATACAGCATTGATACTTCCAATCTTTACTCTGGCAACAGTTGTCTGAACAGACTGTAGTAGTGAGAATGGCTTTTATAGAGTGATATTGCCAATTGTGGCTTGGAAAAAATATTTCTCCTAGCCTTATGTCCCAAGCTGTTTCCCAGAACCAACTCAGCCACAGCCCCTGAAGTATCTTTTGAAGAGTTGGTCCAAGGCAACAGATATTTCTTACAGCAGAGGAACAGGAAGAAAGAGGGCTGTGGAAGGATAGGGTGTTGTTCCACCTATCCTGAAGGGTTTGCGGCTACCACTGGTCATGGAATGAGGAAGTGAATTTTATCCTGGCTGAAGAACACACTGTTGTTTCTTTAAGCAACAACAAAATAGTATTTCACACCCCAAGAAATCTTCAACAAGTGAGACCATGGGGAGTCCTTGATATCATTGTCAAAAGTCTTTCCTAGAACTGTTCAAGGTAAAAGGAAATTGGAAATTCTGAAAAAAAAAGACAAAGGAAAAAAGAAAACACCTAAAAATCAAGGGAGAGGGCAGTGAAACACTTATATCCAGGATAACATGAAAAAAGAAAGGCAGATTGGCCTGCATGTACACTCTCTGAAAGGTCATAAATTAATCATTTTCTGTTGATACGTTCTTTGCTAAGAAAAGATGAGATTCAAGAAACCAGTTTTTGTTTTGCGTACTTAATTGCAGATTCATTTTAGATACAAGTCTGACATCTTTATTTTCTACTCTTAAACATTTTCTGTGGTGACTAAATAGACTCTTGTGATGCTACAGTTCTGAATTAAATTCTAATGTAGTTTTCTAAAAGAAAGCACATTTTTGTCTGAAATACTTAAGGAGGTTCTATTTAGCATCTTCAGGGTTGCGTATTTATTTATTTGGCATTTCTAAGGCGTTAAAGGAAAAAGTGGTTGATGTAATTACCCTATTAAAAAATCAATTATAAATACAGATGAACACTTATGCTGTTCAGTCTTTCTTTATGTAGGCAGTATTCCTTACAGGGAATAAGCTACACAGGATCCATAACAGAGGCTATGACAGTGATCTGCAAGGCTGCAAATATTAAGAAAAATTCTGCTTCTCTTCCTTAATGTAGGCAAGCAAAACTTGTTGGTTCCCAGAATTTTTTTTTCTTAATGTAGGCAAGCAAAACTTGTTGGTTCCCAGAATTTTTTTTTCCAGTCACAAAATTAAGTACATATGAGATTTGCAAAGATATATCCTTTAAAGATAAGAAAGACAAGCAGATATTCTTGGGACTGTACAAAAGAGTGGCTTACACTTAAAAAGTTGTGATTCTTTTTAAAGACTAGCTGCTGCTCTACTGTTGACTCAGATGTCTTTCCAAATTGTGCATGAATTACAAGCATCTGAGTTAATTTCCATACATTTTCAAATGGGAAGAAATTTGTAGTACAACTAGTTGGTACAGACGGGCATGCTGATCTCGTCATTCCGACTGTGAATAGGGTTTTTCCACAGTTGTTTTTGATCCGGCACAGGAACTGAGGGGCAGGCAATGTTTCTGTGCTGCTCGTGCTCCCTCTGCTGTGTTTTTTTGGAAACACGGAACGGAAAAAGGTATCTGGCTAACGTGCTGGGCTGCCTGAAAAGACTTGATGGAAGATTAGGCTGACGATCAGAAAGACTGAGCGGAAAACTGAACCTGTTTGCTGGGATCTTAGTTCATCTTCCTCACTTGTAATGTAGTCTTCAGCGATATGCTAGACAGTTTTCAAAAGAGCTTTGGTTTGATAAGATGAACAACTTATTTAGCAAACTTTTATGTGTTGTGGAAATGAAAAGCCATTTAGGAAACACAGGAAAGAGAAAGAGAAGTTTTAAAAGTAAGCAACCTCTGTTGTAGAACCTCTGCTGTTCTCAGTCTTTGACAGTTTTGTGACTACTGATAAACTTACAATGAACATAAAGGATAAAAGTCATATTAATGAAAACTAAATCCTGTATTACAGGAAGTACACATGGTGTTTGAATATTAAAAATTCAGTTTTAAAAATAAAATTATGAAATACAACTGTGTAAACTGATAGGAGCTTGCATATATAATTCTGTTGTATAAAATGAGATAATGGAACCATAGCACATATTCTGAATCTCTCAAAGCTTATGTTGAGCCATAAGATGAATGTTATATGCATCAAGAAAGGGGTAAAAAAGGGGTGAGAGACTGCAATGAGTGGATTCTCTTGGTCTTGTTGAAAAGAAAATTGGCAAGGAAATACTGTCAGGAAAGCAAGTCAGTTTCATTAAATACATCAAATTGCTGGAAGGCTGATATGGAAAACTTCTAGTATTGCCCAGAAAACAAAAAGATACTTGTTTTCTGACTAGAAACAAACATTTAATACTTTTATGAAATTGTTTGTATTGCTTCATAAAATTGATTTTAATCAATCATCAAACTAAAAGCTAAAATTAAGCAGTAACCACGTCATAATAATCTATCATCTCTACAGTCAGTAAAAAGACTTAGAGTAATATTTAAAGAAAATTGTTATAAAATATTTGATAAACTTTGTGAACAAAGTGTAAATTTGCAAAGACACTATTGAAAAATACTGGGTCTTTAATTTCTTTCAGAGTGCAGTGCTCTACAGAATGTGATAAAGGGTCTAACACAAACCATTGAAAACCAGTGTAACATGAAAGGTAAAGGCAAAAAATGCTATTTTATATATATGCTGTACTGTAATTTCGAATGAGCAGGCATTTAATTTTTTCATTTAACTTTATTGAATTTTTTCAGACACAGAAACTTACTGGCAGGCAAAGAGAAATAAAAAACAATTTCTTAAATCAATCGTGTGCAGTAATAAATGTCTATTGCCATTATTGCCATAGTTTACTTAGTAACTGCCTCCAGGAGGTTATTTTAATCAATTGTTGTGCTTTAAATTCATTGTAGCATAACACAGGCAATTTTACAAAAGGTGAGAAAGTATCAGTCAGCTGTTAGATTGTAGACTATTCAAGTGTTTATGCACAGTTTTTATCACTGTGTTAAGCCAGCATGTCTTAATTCTTAGTATATAATGTTATTAAATTTATTGCTGTTATCCACATTGACAACTATTGCTGTTATTGCTGTTATCCACATTGACTACTCATTTTTACTTGAAAAAAAAAGAGTGTTTGCTATATTTTTATACTACAGCTCAGCAACACACCATGAAGTTAATTTTATAACGATTATGCATTCAAGGCATATTAACTTATATAAATAAACCTCTAGCATTGGAAGTATACAGATATTTTAATACTTAAATTGATACTAATAATTTTTTTTAAATCTATTTTCTTTTAATTCTGTGTTTGCATAGTTTTCTGATTTTTGGGAAACAGGTACTTAAGAACTTGCATCTTCCCATTTGAATCTGTTGTAGCCATGATAATAGTCTTTTATTTTCTGAGTCAAAGAACTTTGCATTTAAATTTTCCTGAATGCATCATTTATTAGGAGACTAAAGAAAGTTCTAAGTAGTAATACCAAGTAAATTTTATGATTAAACCTAAACTATGATTTTTCTTGTTAAAAAAATGGAAACAGACAGTATGTGGTTCTGTAATGATGATTATGTCTACAAAAATAGTTCCTCAAAGTTCAGCAAAGTCAAAAAACACAAGTAATTTCCTTATTCCTCTTTCATGCTAAAGAAATTGTAAAAATGTACTTTGTAGTATACCATATTTGTTTTTGTTTATTTAGATGAAAATTATAGACTGAGGGGAACCATTCACATCTTGGAAGATAAATTAAAGACTTGTGAAGAGGTATGTCACAAATTATCATTCTTTAGGTAAAGGAATAACACTGCATCTCTATTATGCTGTACATCTTTTTGTTTAGTGTCTGCTATTGATACTCTTATTAGTGCTCTTCTGTTAATATTTTTCATGTGTGAAAAGAGAAGGATTGTTCTCATGACAGTATCCATGGGAGAAGGTGTTAGAAGAACTAAGAGGTCAAAATTCCTTGGTGCTGAATTTGGCTCAATTTAAGATGCACTCGGGGTTTATTAGCTGTATTTAGCTTTAAATTCAAATTCATCTTCATCATTCTAATCCCTTGCACTAAAAAAAAATTTCATGTGGGAGTAGGGTTTTCACATTGAAGATGTCTGGTTGCGCTGCCAGAGAATCAGACGTGCTCTGAATTTTGTCCTGTTTATTGAGGAATAAATATTACAAAGATTGTAAATCTCTATTTCTTATCTGTACCTCATAATAAATTCCATATATGTTCTCTGTATCTATGGCACTCATATTTGCAAAGGAGGTAAAACCAGCAGCACTAGTCATAGTTCTCTGTTTTCATAGTTCTCCGTGTGGAGAGTGCAGATGTGTTATCTGTTTAGGATCCGGAATCTCACTGCTGATTTCCTTTGCCTGTGTTTGTGCTATAAGTTAAACTTAAATATTAGTACCAGTAGAGCTATTATCTTGACTGTTCAAGTAAAAAATGAGTATTGCCTTCTGAAGGATGTGATAAACTATTATTTCATCCCTTAAACACATGTTAGCATAGTGGGACTTCCTGGTGTCATTCTGAAGGCACCTGACCACGTTCCCATATCCTGATCCCCAGTCAGTGTCTGCCTTGGTGAGTGTCCCCAGGCACTGTTCTGGTGAGTGGCCATCTTGTCAGAAGGCTGCAACAAGAGCTTTGGAGTCAGCACCTCAACAGTAGCAGCTACAGACAATTCCTTGAAAATTCTGGAGTCCCTACTGGAGTAAATTTATAACTGGCATCTTCAAACTTTGAACATCAGTGGCAGTAGCATCACTGCTGCTGGTGTCACTGATGTGTCTCCTGCTGCTGTGGAATTCTTTGTGCAAGCAATACTAACAAAACACACACTTGAATCATGCAATCCTTGAGTCAAAAACCCACAAAGGCGAAACTGTTGTCCCTTAACTAACATCATTGTGTCAGATCCTGTTCTCTGGAAGGGAATATTACCTCTCCATTTGCCTGTTCTCCTAAGAAGTACAGTTTCCAATTTTATATTAACAGATAGCTGTAATACAATGAAATCTGCTATGTTTTTAATCTGTGGACTCCAGCCAGACTGTGTAAGTAATTGGGCATTTAAATTTACAAGACTGAGGATAAAACAAATACTGAATTTTACAGTACTGTATATTTTTACATGATGGTTGTGCTTTGCAGAAGGCTAAGAGCACAGAAACTGAAAGATCTTTACAAAACATTTTACCTTCACAGGAGTATAAGGATCAAATTGAGAAACTCATGACAGAAATTAAAAACAAAGAGGAAGACCACAAATTAGAAATAACACAACTGAATTGCGATACAAGGAAAAAATGTAAGTTCTCTGAAGACTGAATGCTTTAGCAATGGGTAAAACATACTGTCACCTGTAGATGCTGTGTTTTGTCTAGGATAAATATGAGTTCCTCTTCTTGGTGGAAGCATGTGAAGGCTAGAAGTGGGCAGTGTTTAATACAATTTTATCTTCGATGAAGAGAGCAGACAGCGGTAATGAAGCAATAGTACAGCAACACGGGATGAGTAGAAACTCCCAGATAGTTAGAACAAATGCTGGGAATGTGGGCATAAAGATCAGAAGGAATGAAATTTTGAATTAAATGTCAACTGGAACCTTTGAACTGTAAGCTAGATTGCTGTTTGAATCTTCTATCTGTGTTCAGGAGAGTAGAACATTATTTTCACAAATAAATAGTACTTCAGTGAGGAAAAAACTGATTTATATGTTCATTTGCTCCATTAGAGATAAACTTAAAAAGTAGGATTTTTTTGGTCATCCATATGAAAACAAGGAAAGTTTTTGTAAATTATATGCCTTTATTAAAAGACACCATCTTACTGGTGTCTTTTTAAAAGGACAGTGTGGTTTTCATATAGTTTCAGTATGGTTTTTGCTTGAATTGTCTTCCACTGAAATGTTTACCTGATGTTCAGGAAAGTTTTTTAATTTGGAAAATGATGTTAATTTTTCATCTATATTATTTCATCTATTATAATAATAATTTTGGTGTTACTGTGTTACTAGTTGAAGTAAAAGAAATGGAGTATAGAGAAGAGAGAGAGAAAAAAGAACTGGAAATATTAGAGCTAACTAGACAGCTGAAAATTCAAAATGAAGAGAAGCAGAATGAAATAATTAAACTGCAGATAGAGGTATGCATTACAAAGCTGACTTAAAGATGAACTGGGCATTGGGTAAACTTCAAAGAGACTGTGCAGTGAAAAAATATTAATTAGTACTTAACAAAGTAATATGATGCAATCTAGAAAACTTAATTATTTATTGTGTTTATGAGAATCAGTGGCAGGTACTCCCTTCCACAATGGTAACTGACTCCTGCTCCGGAGTCAAGTTCCACCTACTATGTAGGGAGACTGAAGGTGGCTCTCTTCTTGTTCCAAATTAAATTACTTAGAAACAGTTTTAGATTTTGAGCTATTAAAAAATGCAACAATGTTTTCTGCTTAACTTTCTTGGTTTTAATTTCTGAATGGTGAGAATACATATATTTTAAAATAAAATTTAAAAAAAATTTCTAATCCTGCAGAGATTTAAGAGAGAGCGTTCAACATGTATTTCACTGCTCATATTTTAAAACACTCTCATTAAAGAAAGAATTAAGGAAATACGTCAAACCTTTCACACAACAAAAAAGAAATAAGATGTGGCAGTGTTCAGGCTGACTTGTCCTTGGAACATAAGAGAAGAATGATGGTTCTGAAGGATATTAGCACCTCCTGTAGATATGTGGCTGAGAAGCCTTCAATTTTATTCTTTTTTTCAGAAGCCTCTTTTTTATCTACATGGTTTTAGTTGATCATGTTTGTACTACTTTTGCAAAACTTTGAGGCTTTTTTTAAAGAAATACAGTTTGTAACTGCATTCTTTTTAAAATAAATATAAGCAGCCTTGTTTCTCTAGACTTAGTAGAAAGGCTTACTGCTACTACGCTCAGGTAAAAGAACGCAATTAATAAAAAGTGAAAATTATGCTTGACATATTTAATATACCTTCCCCTGCCCCCGTTCATTCTCACCGTTTTATCTTTGCCTGATTCTTTCAGTTCAACGCTAAATTAGCAAGAGCTCAGGATAAGACCACCAAGTCCTTTTCAGACACTTCAGTCTTGCCACAAAGTATCTATCGAAGGGTAGGTGCTTTCATAGGGTGCAGCACATAGATACTGTTCCAGGGTGTTTGAAACAGGAGTTCCCCGGGGTTTCTCCATGTGCTCTCTCCCACACGCCCCTCCCACCTCTACATAACTCAATTCATAGAATCATAGAATAATTTAAGATAGAAAAGGCTTTTAAGATCATCAGCTCCAACTGTCATGGCTCTTGACATACTGATCCTACCACAGGAAAGCAACAATGAAGAGCAACATGTGAGGTTGTTTTACTGCAGAATTGTTAACCTGGAAACTTAGATCTGACATCAGTGACACTGATACAATACTCTGCATATGCTTGGGGTTTGGGTTTTGTTTGTTGTTGTTTGTTTTTTTCTTTTTTGTAGGCTTAAAACTTTGGGATGGCAGAAAAACAGGATTCTGGGGAAATAGTTTTTGTAATTTTGTGATACAAAATACTGAGGAAAATATTCTTATTAAAATATATCTTACTTGCAGTAGCAAAGCAAATTACACAATTTTATGTGATGTTTAAGAATGAAGCCTTTGCCTGTACTTTTACAGAAGCTGCAGCATCTCCAGGAAGAGAAAAACAAGGAAATTGAAATTCTACGAAACACCATAAGAGATTTGGAGCAACGTCTTAATAAAGGTCAAGACCTGCCCTTCAAACGGAGGAGATTCTGACTAAATGACTTGAAGTATTTCAGTGTTTCAAATTCTGCATCTCAAAATAAAAACAAGATATGAAGAAAGTATGTTTTATTGAAAACACTCTTGTCAAACATTCCAAAGGCATGCATTCTGTATGTATTCAAAGCTACTCTCTTGCTAATCAGCATTCACAATAAAAAGGTTCAGGTTTTGTAGAAGTAGTAATTTCCCTATTAAACCATCATTAATTATGGTGTATGCTTTCATAGCAGTTTTCTTTTCATGAATATTCTCTTCTTCATCCAGGATCCTTCGAACAACTGAATTTACTTCCATTCAGTTAATCAAACATTAGGAATGCTAGGCTATAGACAGAGAAGTGATACAAGTTTAAGTGGTATATTATGTTAATTGATATGGATTGCTAATTGGTACAGATTTATCAAATTCAGCACTGTTATAAACCAAGATCAACATTACACCAAGATTAAACTTGTTTCATCCCACCTTCTTTTTGATTCTGACTCTCAGTTGTTGACACTATTTCTCACTTCAGGATGATCTAATTGATTCAGTAGGATTTTACATGCTGTAGCAGTATGTATTAATGGACACTCTTATTGTACCTAAGAGCCACAAAGCTCTCAGCTTTGTTAAAAAAGCTTTGTCAAAGTTAAGTATATCAATCTGTTACTTAAAAATAAAGCAGTTACTGTCTATATATTACATTTTTATGTGGAATTATTCTGTCACATTGCTTAGGAGTAAGTTTTACTTGTACATGATTTGTATCCCCAGGTTAGAAAAAAAAACAAACAAACTTCAAATCTATTGTCTTCCTAATGAAAAATGATTAAAGTATCTGTCTTGGTTTTCTTCTGTTCTTGATTGCAAAACATCAGACAGGAGCCCCTAGGTCATAGTTTATGCTCCTGTCCTCACAAATGCAAGCAGAATGTTAGAAGAGAAACAAGAAAGACAAATTAATCGAGAATGCAGACACCTTCCCAGTGGAACCGAAAAACAAACTAGGGGTCAACCAAATTCCTTTAGATCATGAAGATTTTCACTGATGGAATTAGACAGATATTCAATCATTCTAAGAGCGCTGCTCTAAAAATACCCTTCTTTGCAATTTACCCATACCTCTCAGCACAATTTTGAATTTGGGGCAATAAAAACACTTAATCTGTTCATTTTTCTGCTCTTGCAAGTATATTAACTGAGCTAGTGTGACTCCCTTTTTTCTGGAAGGTGCTTAGTTTGTTTTTCAGGATCAGTTCCTTGCCTTTTCCTGTCACTGTCAGGTGTCACTAGTTTCACTTGCTCCTGCTGGTGATGAATGTCAGGCAGCAGAGAGCAGACGGCACTGTCAAGACTCAGTGACATCCTCTGCTGCCAGCTGCCCGCGTCACCTGCAAGAATTTGGTAGCGCTCCGCGACACTGTCAGGTGACAGAATTCCCTAGCTCTTCAAACAGAAGGTGTCGACAATGACAGGATCAGCTACCAGAGGTAGAGTCTGATCCTGTCTGCCAATTTCAGGTTAACTGGTTTTTGCAGCTGTTTTTCCCTTTCTTTCGTAGTTTTTTATCTTGTGGAATTTCCACAATTTCTCCTGGAGGGGCAGTGTCTACGTGCTCCTGACTACCTGTCTGATCGTGTCTGTGACGGCCAAAAAGCCTGTGGCGCCAGGCGCTGTGAGGATGATGTCCATCAGTTTCAACAGCAGCCTGGTGGTTCTCGTGTTTGGGATCACGACTGCCCTGGTGATGGTGGCGGTGGTGGTGGCGGCGGTGGTGGTGTCCATGTCTGTGCGGGCTGGTCTGGGAATGCTGGTCTGTTGGCTCAGGTTCTATCTCTGACAGCTCTTCAACTGCTTTTTTAGTGATGTTTTCACAGACACCATCAATATCAGGTTCCTGCAAAACAGATGCTTGCATTAAATACAGGGCACTGAATTCAATTAAACTAGATGTAAAAGATTAACTGACATTTTTGCAGAGCATGAAAGACACTTTTAAGTTATTAGCGCTATTTTGCTGAACATATGAATATATAAGAAATAGCCTTGTGTTGTCACACCACTGTCAACTAGACAGGGCTTTTTAGCAATTATAACTCCAGTAATTGCTAATAACAATTATTCTTATCCTAGATCCTACATCTGACCTGTCTATGGTCTACATTTAGCTAGAACGCTGCGCAATGGGATCAAAAACTATTATTTTCGTTGAACTTTCATGAAGTATATACATTTCTTGATAATCTTTAAAAGTATTTCTGGTCTGGAATGAGTCACTAAAGAAAGCTACCCTTCTTTTATAGCAGTAACAATAATTTGTCACCTTGTATTATCACTTTTTTAAAATAACTCCTGTAGACTGTGTTTAAATGCAAACTACAATAAATAGTAACACAAACCAGCTAGAGTTTGATTCCTGCGTTTAAAAAAAATATGTACTTACCCATCCCACAAAATTAGAGTAGTTAATTGCTCACTACCTCTATAGCTCTACAAACAGAATTACTCTCCAAGATTGGATTACATTTCTGACAATTACTTGCATTTCTATCAAGGACAGGAATTCAGATAGGCAATCAGTCTATTCGAAATCAAATATAATTTGCTTAGAAAAATGCTTAGAAGCTATCTGTCAAGATGCATGAAATATGTAAATTCAAAATCATATATTTTTTGATTAAACACACTGAAATAATTTTTTAAATACCAATCAAATCCACTTTTCTATTATACACAGAATGAGACAAGAAAATACCATGTAAGAGCAGTTTCCACACTTGTTTTTGCAGTATGCAATCTTAATAGATTCTTCCACATATTGAAAATGCAGGAAGGAGTAGGGCATACCCAGATGATACACGAGACGGCCGCATCTAAGGAGAGAAAGGACTCTGTGGTTACAAATACCTACAACTAAATCTCTTTTCTTATGATCTCACTTTACTTGCACCAATCCACCCACAGTGTACAGTTCCACAAGGAGTGTTTCTGTTCCAGTTCACAGGCAAATCCAGTATCTCCCTTACAATGCTTGCCTGCTCAGCTGCACTGGCCAGGATGTGAAGCATCATTTCTGGCTGATGTGGTAGCTGCACTGCCAGAAGCCTTGTCCTAGAGTGGCACTAAAGACTGGCAGAGGTGCACTTGTTACAGACCCATTGGGATAATGAGAAGGGTTCTTTGCATAGTGGTCGCTGCACCCTAACCAGGTGTTTTTATGCAGCCTGACAGGTATTCTGACTGGGATGGACACTGCAGCGCACCTGCAAAGCAATTTTCTTCTCAAGTTTTAAGTTTTACCTAAAGTTTTGTCTAATTTTTCCTTATATCTACGTGGCATTTTCAACATCTCTCCTCAAAAAGTTTCCATGAGATAAAAGATTCTACTTTGACATGCATGGATGTAATGAAGTTAATATGAAAATAAATATGCTACAAAAAAATGAACATGTTACCAAATTTTTCACTCACTCATGTTCATCTAAATCCATGGCAATTATAAAGAAAAAAAATATTTATTCAAAAATTACTTATGTAAAAGCAGACTTTGCTTTTGTAACTTTGTTTTTCCAGTAAATACCACTTTACGTAGTTCAGCTTAGAAGCTGAGCATGATGTCTTTGTTTTTTGCATATCAATGACATGTTATAGAGATTTGCAAATCATTACTCATAATACATGCAAATATTTTCCCATGTTTGTCTGTAAGCACACACCTGTCATAGATAAGAAAGTCATCCTTGTTTCCATTTAAAGTAGTCCACACATCCTCTTGGTGCTCATCTTGCTGGTAGACAGTAATGTAGTCTGAAACACGTTCTTTAAGTAGGTGAAATTCCTTCCGGGATTGAGCTCCCTGATGGTTGACAACCACATACGAGATGTTGACCAATCCTTCATTCTCTAACTTTACTCGCAGGTCCTCCAAACTAGTGGGAATGTAAAGAAGCAAGACCATAAATCATTAGAGAATCATGAGATTTGACACAAAAGTTAATATGCTCCATCTTGCTTTTATTTGACCTGTATGATGTGGAGTTTCTTCCCTTTCAATTGTATTTTTCCTATGGAATTGCTCTAGAAAACTTTTATTTTTCAGCTATGAGAAACAGTCTAGAATGTGGAAGATTCTTCAGTTTTTTTCTAAAATGTAAGAACCGAACCCAGCTACTTTGAAAGCCAAACACAAAGCCCAGTGTTAACTTTGATGGAGCCACAGATGTTTTAAAATCAAATTCTTAATAAACTTGCAATGCCTATTATGATATGTAAGTGCAGCCTAGAGAAGCAAACTAAGGTGTTCTCTGTGACTAAAATCCAAATCTGAAACTGGCACTATGAATTTTTAAACCAAAATAATTTCACAATTCCTAAATGAATCAAAGATAAGAGCTTTATGCAATTCCTGTTTGGCTCAGCTTGAAATTATTTTATTGCTATTTTATGCATTGTTACTGTCATGATAGCTAATTATTTGCAAGGAGTAAGTTCTAGAAAATAGAGTACCCATGTCCCAGGTCTTGGATGAAAACCTAACACTGATGACTTCCTTGAATGCTTCATCAATTTTCTGATAGGACAGTATTTACCTTAGCTTATGGATTTTTTAAATATATATTGGATCTCTGAACATAGGCTGAAAAGCCACATGAAAAGCACATATTTTAGTTTATTTTTTTCCCTACAGGTTTTACATAAGAAATCAGTGATCACAAATCTCTCTATTTCAGGTGATCTAACAATGTTAAAGAATTGCGATATTTCTTGGCTTCATCATTTTTGCTGCATTAACCATCTGTTGCTGTTTCTGTTGGGTGTGCCTGTGGTTTGGGTTTCATTCATGTCAAGTTGATCATACTATTTATTATGTTGGAAAGCTAATTTGGAGAAGATGATCTGCCAGTCAGGAGTAGGTCAAGAGATAAAGGATCCTGCCCACTGGCACAGAACCCTTCTGCTGATAGTGAGCCAGGTCACTGGGTCACACATGCCAGCTGGGATGGTGGCATTTGGGGCAGCTA